ATTGCATGTTCGGTCAATTTCAGACTGCAGAAGTTGATAAAAATCTTCAATTTCCTCATCTTTTGCTTTGGTGGTTGGTGTGTAAATTTGAATAATAGTGTTATTAATGGCTCTTTCTTGTAGGCATATGGATATTATCCTATCACTGATAGCATTGTACTTCAGAACAGATCTTGAAATACCCTTTTGATGATGAATGCCTTGCCATTCCTCTTCAATTTGTCATTCCCAAGTAGTAGATCTTATGATTGTCTGATTCAGAATGCCCAAAACCGGTCCATTTAAGCTCACTAATGCCTAAGGTATCAATCTTTATGCATTCCATTTCATTTTTTACAACTTCCAATTTTCCTAGATTAATACTTCATACATTCCATGTTCCAATTATTAATGGATGTTTGCAGCTGTTTCCCTTCGATTTTAGTTGTGCCATGTCAGCACATGGAGGTCCTGAAAGACTTACTTTATCCATATCATTAAGGTTGGTTCTGCTCTGATGAGCCAGCTCTTTCACAGTCCTATTTTGAGTGTCTTCCAATCCAAGGGGCTCATCTTCCTGCACTGGGTCAGACAATGTTTCCTAGCTATTCATAAAGTTGCCCAGTAATACATCAGACAGTGTTTCTCTGCTTTTCAGAAGGTTTTCCCTGGCCAATTTTTGAGAAGTGGATGGCCTCCTTCTTCTTCCTAGTCCGTCTTAGTCTGTAAGCTGTGTTGAAACCTGTGCACCATGTGTAACTCTGCTGGCATCTGAAACACCAGTAACACAGCCTCAAGGCTCACAGCAACATACAGGTCCCACAGGATGACAAACTGACAGACAAGTTTGTCTCCCTTAGCTGTTGGAAACCTCTGCGCCCTCCCCTTACCTGATTCTACCTGGAACCTGCCACTTTGTGGTCCCTGGATGCTCCCTCCCTTTCCTGGCTCTAGAGGGCTTGGGGCCTAGCCTTGCCTCCCATCCCTTTTTCCAGGATATCCTGCCACTCCTGAGGTCCCCTGCCTCTGTGTGGACTCAAACCACTAATCTTTCAGTGAGCAGTTGAGTAGGTCACCATTTGCATCACCCAGGATCCCATTTCTTACAGAATCACCATAGAGAAATAGAACCAACGATGTGTGTGTGTATGTGCGTGTGTGTGTATGTGGCTCACACAACTGTGGGGGGCTGGGAAGTCCAAAACTGTAGGGCAGGTGACAAGTTGGAGGCTCCTGTAGCCCTGTGTCCCAGAATCTGTAGGTCAAGAGACAGAAGAATGGAGGAGTTCTGGCAAAATGTCTATTCATAGTCTGGAGGTAGAACATGACCTATGGAAACTCCCCTTTTGCTCTTAAGGCCATCAACTGATTGAACAAGGCCCACCCATATTGTGGAAGGTGATCTGTTTTAGTTTCCTCATTCATCCCTCTGCCTACTGCATTAAGGGATGTGGGGATGGAAAGCATGTGGTAGTTCTCCCTTCAGCAAATAGTTACTGAGCACTAACAACAACATGCTGGTGTGGGACAGACTCCACAGTGGACAGACCCCTGTTCCTGCCCTCCCGGACCTTGCACTCTATGTGGAAGAGATGGACATTAAATAAATACATGGTGTTGTTAGTTGCTGTCAAGTCAGTGCCAGCTTGGTGACACATGTACAACAGAATAAAACATCACTGGCCTTGTGCCACTTTCATGATCGTTGGTGTACTTTAGCCCACTGTGTCAATCTACCTCATTGAGGGTTTCCCTCTCATTTTCCTACATAATCTAGAAAATTGATGGTGATGAGGGTCATGCAGAGAATTAAAATGGGCTGTTGTGATGGTGATTGGCCTGGTTCAAGAAGTCTA